ACATTTGTGTATCATACATATATAATTATACACATAATATACAGTTGTGGTAATCATAGTAAAACAAAATTGAATAAGGAAGTAAACATGTATAGAGTGAATATTTTATCTAAGAATAAGTAAGTAGTCACTTTGAACAGTTTAAATGTTTCCATTTTGAAAGCACTTAAGAACTGTATGAAAAATCTTAACATTATGCACATTGATGCACAATTACATCTAACATCGGCAAGAACGAAGATTGCATTTACCACATTCCAGAGAAATTCAGAGACAATGAGACATAAAAGTACAGATATATCGATTGCTCATCAATACATTTACTTCGGGTTTAGGCACATATTTTCACAATCCGTATTACTGCTTTATAATCCTTTGATCGTTTTCTATTAATCAGAATTAAATGTTTTGTAATTAAACGATTATTAATGTATTTCGTCTTCTTTTAATTACGTATCCCATTTCATATATGTCCACTTACAGCAGATTGAATAATTGCAAACGGCACATTCAAAATATGTTAAAAGTAAAGAAATACTTTCCATTAAACTATTAATTTTTACTAGCAAAAAACAAAGTATGAGTATTTGGAAGTAAACGATGGCCTCACACCATTGCTTCAATCCGTCAAATGTTAACTATAACAACATAAATAAATAAGAATGTGTACTTATACAAACTCATAATTCATAATGCTCTCTCTCTAAGCAACGAAATTCTATAAGAAATAAATACAATCACTAGTATTATTACTTTTCTATTACAGATTATTTCAGACAGTGCATATCGCATATCATATATCTGTAATCTCACAAAAGAGCGATCGTTCAATCCGCAATCGTACAGTCATTCTTCTGTCTTAATCCATTTGATTCAAGATAATTATGTAGGTTACAAATACACTTCCTATCGTTACTAGCAGTTTTTTATTAATGGTAAACATTTCACAAGCCGTAAACTCTGGCAAGTCTTCGACACAATTCGTGTGAATGGATAAACGAGAAGCACAACTCTGTATTAAGTTGTTATCGCTAGATAATGAAACGGTGTATAGAGCTTTTGTTATTTCCTTGGCAATATTTGTCATTCGAGAGGCTGACACACACATATTTATAAAATATAAAAAGGGAATGAACGAAAACAAAATAAACGAGTTTAACATATTTAATTTTGCTGCTTTTGGAATCGTTAAATATAGGTGAAAATTAAATATGAGATTACTTCCGATATAAACACTCCAAAAAAATAATAACGTAGAGTAAATATTTGACAAACTGCTCGCAACGCCTAAAATATACATATACATTTTCACTGTTAATTGTAAACGAGAAGAAGAAACTTGCCCTTTTCTAAGAAAATTCAACAGAGCTGTAAAAGCACTTTCTAGTTGATTGCAGATTATTTCAAAAAATAGAAATAACCAAAGAATGGGCATTACATGAAATATATAGTGCATTGCGGCTTCAGAAAGCGAAACAATGATTTCTACAGTTTTATTTACTTTGACTCCAAATGTTCTAAACTTAATCTCTTCTGGAGATGCTCGAATAGTTAAAATACAATATAAAAATAAACATATCCAAATAAGAATAATTTTAATTTTTAAATATTTTTTAGTAAATCCTTTAATCTTGAGATATTCTAATCGGTGAAGCTTGTCAATTAATTGATGAACTTCGTTCTTTTTAGCATGAAAATGAATTACAGATGCGAAATTTATTATTATCGAAAAGTTGGTTGCGGCAAATGTCAAAAGGCCAACTGTTGTATAGGCGTTTGTTAGCGAAACAACGTAAGCTGAAACGAAACACATTGTATATAAGATACCAATGACAGTCATAACAACATCGAAGAGTGTAATTCGTCTCGCTTTATAATTTAAACCACAAAATATCATGGAGGTCAGCAACGGATCCCAGTTATCTCGATATCTGTCTTTGTGCCTCGACTTTAAAATAGGATAAACGTTACTTACCGAGGACATCCTCATTTTTTAAACTGAAATAAAGTTTTTATCTTAGAAACGACATTATCTTCAATAACTACCTTTTGTAACGTTGTGTATCTCACTGTTATTTTCTGGAACTGGAATTTGCTCGTTCGATATTAAAATCAATGCAACTGTTAATTTTACAATATTTACGCATGTTGTATTGGCAAATGTTTTCGTAACGAAAATTAAAAATAATATTTTCCTTTATAATAAAATTAATTATGTATTTTCGTATTGTTTAGTTTGTTCTGTTGTGTGTGCAAGTCGTTCGAAATAAATGTATTATTGGCTCAACTTTACCAATTAAATTTTTGCACCAAATCGACAGTAACTAATAAAAATTAAAATACTTAAAGTAAAATTCTACTTCAATTTAGACAACTTTTTCCATTATTAAATAAATAAGATTTCTTTCATTATAAAAAGGAATATCGAATTACAAAATAGTTAATCTGCGATGCTCTGAACTCTGAAAATAAGACCTAGCATAGGTTTTGCTGAATTGCTAATTATAAGGCCTGCCCCGAAAGTAAGACATAGCAAAGTTTCTTTTAGTGGTAACGGTTATCGACAGATGGTTGAAAGTAGTGCTGTGCGATGCATCGATGTTTTTGTTCGTCGATGCATCGAACTTCCGATGTTTTTGAAACATCGATCCTGAATCGATGTTAGCAACATGTGAATTCTCATTCATCGATGCATGCAGTTCATTCTTTGTACCTAGTGTTACCACCTGTTCGGTTTTCACTCGGACAGTCCTGGAATTTCGTAGAAATTGCGATGAAACAAAGTTCTTGCAAATATGTTTACAAATTTACACTATTTTAACAGTGAACGAACTCACACTCATTGAAACTCATCCTCAACTCTGCCATGTTAGTCTGTTTACTCTGACTCATCGCAGAATGAAAAAGGTTCTGTGACATTAAAATTAATTTAGCATGTTGAGACTCGATGGAATTCGTATTTCTTGATGATTGAGAGATTTGTACTACTAAAAAATTTTGTTACACTAACATTGCAAAAGTTTCCAGGGGCACCCGACATGCTCTCTGGTAGAGAATTAAGTGCTTTGAATGATGCGCTTAAAGTACTAAAACCTTTTTATAAAGTAACTAATGAAATTTCAGCAGAAACTCACACTACCATCAGTAAAATTATCCCATTTTTAGGGTTAATGTTTAATGCACTTTGCAAGGTTTCTACAGAAACAAATGTGGGAAAGAAGTTGCTGGAAAAATGTTTTAGTAATCTTGATTTCCGTTTTAAATCCACTGAGACGAAGTTAGTATATAGTGTTTCCACATTAC